GCTAGTCCATACTCGATTTGCTTGACATCGCTAAGAGCATGAACATGTCTACCTGAACGCTTCTCCTTAAGAAAATTCTTTTGACTAATAACAAACGACAGTATTGAATGACAGAAGTATGACTCACCTTGAGGTTAGTGTGGTCGACTACGACCCGCAACTTAGATGTAGGCGATCCGTCCCTGTGTCGATTTGTAGGTTGCGATTATGCTTTGCGCCGGCTTATACGCGCACGGCAGCGACTGCCCGCGAAAAGTTTAACACTGTCCGAAACGCTTAAAAGCGTGGCGTACGCTCAAAGCGCTGAATCGATATCTATATTTTCCTAGTTGCTCAGAACGTTGCTATACGATCAAAATGCTGAAAAAAAAAAAAATGTAAACGCAGCCGTGCCGTTTAGTGTTTTACAAGCCTGGTGAAACTGTATTAAGGATTGATGAAACGTTTTACGAGGTGGAAGTTTTCATTAGCGTTTTGTCCGTTTCAGACTTTGCCGAATGCGAAGATGCTGAAACGTAAGCCTAATAAATCCGTCCAGTCTCGTAAATACGAACGGAACCTATGAATGAAAACTGTTTTCAGACATCTGTGGAAGTACCGGCTCCTCAATCTGGGACTATTGTTGAGCTTCTCGTGGAAGATGGAGCGAAGGTCACAGCTAAGCAGAAACTGTACAAACTTGAACCTGGTGCAGCTGGTGCTAGTGTATGTTACTCTTACATCTATTTCTCTTTTTATTCTAGGTGTATTTGCTCAAGTTTTTTTTCTTACTGTTATTTACACCACTGACTTGTTATGTCGATTTTCAACCCATTTGTCACTTGCGTGTGTTTATATGCCTGCCCTCAAAATGCCCCATGGGTGTGATAGGGGTGAGGACAAGATTACAAGTTCAAGAAAACAGGTGGTATGCAGTACCCGAAAGTTGCGCGTGGATTTAAATGTGTCTTCTTCATGAATGCACACAATTGGGCATGCAGTAAGGCGGTTTGGTTACCCATGTTTCTTGGCCTTTGTTATACTTATGTACAACCTGGTTGATGTAGGTTTCATCATTGACCCCGGCTTTTTCCGCTTTTCACCTGGCTAGAGGCTGCCCAGGCGGAGAGTTTGAGTGGTGTTGTGTGCTGGCTCGCTGATCATACGCACTCTGTTGTACGCGCAGTTGGAGGTACTGTATACCGCCGGTGTCCTTTTTAATTTAGTAGAACGGTGTGGTGCTCTTTGATGACGGGGCATTTTACTCTTTCGCTACTTCCCATCGACGTGTCGACCTATCTAGGCAGCCTCTTCTCGAGTTGACAGGTTTTACCATGATGGCTAGATGAGCTTGCTCCAGCTTCACAAGAGTTCACAGGTTTCGCCAGAGTGAGACTTGTAAACCGGAACTAGGGAAGCAATGATAGTACAAAATGCCCATCCCCCCCCCCCCCCCCCGTCGTGAAACTGCGCCGGTGATAATGAAATAACACGTAAGCACAACCGAAACCCATGGGTGTTGTAGTATTGTTCTACAGTGATACTTTTATAGTGATGAAACCGTCCTACCGGTACATGAGAAACCCACTTGGTACGTTCGCCTTTGAACTTTGAGATAGATGTGTGGAGCACGCGTGCATTCGATGGAAAAGGCATATGCGGTGACCGCCGGGGCATAAACATCAATGAGTGTGATAAGGAGTACGATGGGGAAATCGACTGCTAGGAAAGGAGAGGATAAGCACCCCTCCCCTCCCTTTTCAGCGATGAAGTACTACCCCTTTATGGAATTCTCCTAACATTGCTATACCCGATTGACTATTAGTGTGGCATAGCATGGCAGAGTGGATTGAACAGTGCAAGACTGAACACTATTTGAGCGCATTATTTACAGCGCTACAGTTTTTTTTTTCAATGAAATTTCGTCCATGAGGGTTAATTACTGCACCACCACAACATTTATCACTGTTTGGCTGCAAAGCGATGCCGGCGTCAATACATTGCGACAAACTTTTTTTCACAGTGCTTGAGCATTCGAAGAGACCCCCATACTTTGCAAAAAAAATGGATTAACCAACATGCAAATAGATAGTAAGCAACCCTACATCGTCCGGTCAGCTTTACATTCAGCTCGTTCAAGTTTAAGCTAAAAGGCTTATCTTCATTGTGGGAATGCGCTGTCTGGCTGGGGGGAGGGGATGGGGCATTCTGCACTGTCGCTAGTTATTGTTAATGTTTCATGTTGAATAGTAGGTCACAGATTGGTGAAACGTGTGAACTCTCGTGAAGCAGCGAAATGGTACAAGTGAGCCACTTTGGGGCGCAGTTCGGCGACGGTGGGCGGGGTGGGTTTGCAGTTCTTGCCTACTTCTCATCGACATGCTGAAGCTATCTAGGCTGGGTCTTCTCCCCGAGTTAAACACGGGATGGGACGGCGCGTAAGGCATGGATCGTAATTCGCCCCACCGCATGGGCGCGGCGTTTTCATAACTCGTTTTAACCTGTCGAATGAAGCACCGGGACTTCATGTAGACCCCGTCATCGTAGACACTCATTACTGTTTTCGGTCCTTAATTGCATGTTGTCGCCATCTACTGCCTGAAACCATCGTCCTTTGCGGGCGAGACGTCGCACGCGACGCCCAGCAGCGCGACAAACGATCCTCTTGTCACATACCCCGAGTTAACAGTTTTACCATGATGGCTTGACCTTGGTCCAGCTTCACAAGAGTTCACAGGTTTCGCCAGAGTGAGACTTGTAAACTGGAACTAGGGAAGCAATGGTAGTACAAAATGCCTCCCCGTCGCCGAAGTGCGCCCCGATTGGTTATAGGAATTCGCAAGTCTATACAGGCTTTCCTTTAGGACGTAGCGCCCTTACTAAGCGAAATGCGCAAGTCTATACAGGCTTTCCTTCAGGACTTAGCGCCCTTACTAAGCGAAATGCGCAAGTCTATACAGGCTTTCCTTCAGGACTTAGCGCCCTTACTAAGCGAAATGCGCCCATGGGGAATTTCAATTTTGCGCCAGGAGTCCTTCAACCGTCACAAACAAGTTGCATTGGCGCAGCAGTTTAGAGAACGTAGTAGGAAGGTCCTGGTCGTGAGTCTGAACAATGTTAGGCGATTGAAAATGGATGTGATTTCCGTGATCACATTGTGCTTGCTCCGAAAACATTATATTTTGACGATTGTACATATTGTTAATCAGGGCACTCAACCCTTTCGAAAAAGTATCAGTAGGAACAGGATTTTGATCCTTTCGGGATGTAGTGCCCAAACTTGAGATGTAGCTCTTGAGTCTTCGCTATCTATCTTCCTATTTTTTTATAGGCTCCTGCTAAGGAAGCTCCAAAGGCGGAAGCTCCTAAAGAAGCGGCTAAACCAGCGGAAGCACCACCTCCTCCCAAGCCAGCTCAGGAAGCAGCAGCACCTACACCACCACCACCTACTCCACCATCACCTCATCCACCGAGCGTGCCAGGTATGTTTTTGCCTTTCTAGCTTACACATTCCACAGTAGCAGGGTGTGGGGGTGCAGTTAAGCAGGATGCTTCAGCTGCTGTTACTCGCCTGTGAACAATGGCGCTTATCAGAGAGATTCTAAACAAGGTCCTTTTTTGAATTTTATTCTGAGCATTTAATTAGTAGTCTCGAGGAAATAGGGCCCACGAGATACGAGAGAATTGAGTCTTTAGCGCCCCATGAGCCACTAAATCGGCCCAGCTTCTGTTCCCGTGACCCGCTCGACGTCACACGCGGAGGATTTTTTCGTTCCGTCAATCATGGAGCAACCATTTGAATGAATTTTTTCTTTCTACTTATCTTTTCAAATTTGAGGTGAAATTCCGAGAACACCTCCTCCGGTCTCGCGCCCGCCGTCTGCCCCCATATCCTCGGTACCTGTTGCAAGCATCCCCGTTCAACGTGTTACTGTACCTGCTGGTGCCTCTAAAGATATGGCAATCACAGGTGCCAGGGAAGAGGTAGGAGAGCTTCACCTATTTGTGCTTTTTTTTGCCAAAAAACGTCTTTCGTTTGTTTGCTAGGTTCGTGTGAAAATGAATCGAATGAGGCTACGCATTGCCAGTCGTCTGAAGGATGCTCAAAATACATACGCAATGTTGACAACTTTCAACGAAATCGATATGAGGTGAGATTACTTTCTTCGTTTTTGTAAAGGATTTTCATGTTGAAAGTCCTACGCGTAGTTTCTACCTCGCTAGTTCGCCGAGAAAAAGTGATGGGGGAGGGGAGGGAAGGATTAGTGAGAGAAGAAGTCATCCTGTGAAGGCTACGAAATCGTACGAGTTTTCTTCTAAATATCATGACGGTAACTGGGCAGCTTCCCGCTATGCCGAAGTAATACTTGGTCTGATAGAAGGAGTCCAGCTGCCCAGGGACCTTCCGGTTATTTTTGGCCAAACGTTGTTAAGAATTGGAGAGCCTTTACAGCGACAGTTGTTTCTTATATCGTCGAGCCTTCACAGTTTACTGCAAAATTGACGGGTCTCCCGACAAAAGTTGCGAAAGGCCCCTTCCCCACACTTCAGGCAGCGTTCAGACTTCGCGATGACGGTCCGCGCGCTACAATTGAATCAATCAGCGCCGGCCGCTTTTTTTTGAGAGTATAGGATAACAGATGAGCAGCCGCTGCCTCCACATAGTCTAATACTTTCACATTTTCTATGCTCTTCCAGCGCCCTAACGCCAGTGCCGATCGGTGCCAACTGCGTGATTAGGCAACGCGTACTCTCTTATTTCCTTTTGCTCTCTCAGAACACACAGCAGCGGTTGGCCGCCGATCGGTTCCCGTCTGCGTCCGCGGTTTGCGTCCATGCATTGGAGGCGCTTGTGTGCAAAGCTAATAAGCGCGTCGGACGAGCGCGTTGCATGCGGGTCATATTACGAAGGTGTGAACGCTGATATCAGCTGCCGCCGATTTCCCTTCGCAAGTTTCGTCCATTATAGGAAATCCTTGTGGCTTGAATTCACCCAAAATCTGGGGAAACACTATCCTGCTAAGAATGTTACTTCAAGGCCAGGGACCGCGTTGAGCGGCGCTTAGGTTGGGCGGCTATTGCAATTTATAGTAATATGCAGGCAATTACCTTGTCATTAGTGAAAGCCTTTATCGTCGCTCGGTGGAAGGAAGCATGCTACGCCGGAACGGAAGGGCGGGGCGCCATAGGGAGTACGTTTGAATCCATATTTTCTAATCCTTTTGACGCACGCTCATTCCTGAAGAAATCGGCCGGCTGCCTGCTTATTTATTCTGACTAGATCATTTTATTAATTGAATGTTGAAGCGGCATTGAGGGCAGGCGACTTTGCTCCAACTTATCGCATGGCTGTCTAACTTTTGCTTGCCTAAGACACATAGACGTCTCATACACAATTGAGGGTGTATGAGACTATCAGCCCCCCAGATGTCGATGTGTCGTGGTCCCCCCGCCCAAACATGCCCGGGAATGGAGATACAGGGCCGTGAAACACGCTAATTCTTCCATGCTCCGCCCACTGCCTTTTTACGGCGCAGATTCCCGCCGTTCATAACATCCGTTGTAAGCGCGCCTGTCGCGTGCGGCTCCTTGGCACTTTGCCAAGTCCTTTAATTGCGCTCTCAAATACAAGGAAAACGCAATTTCCTGATGCGGATAACATTGGAGGTGCTACAAAATAAGAGCAGAAGATGATGACAAGGGGCAACTCAAGAGCAACTCGGCTGCATCTGCAGTATCCATCAAGGGCCGCGCATTCCCACAAAACATGAAAATAAAAACAGCCCAAGCGTCCCACTCGTTTGTTCTAAGTATTTCTATGGCTTTGGCGCCGGATCGTAGAAATTTACAGGCCAGTTTATCTAATTTGCCTTTCCTTGATTTTTTCATTTTTGTTTTGTTTACATTTACATCGTGGTGCTTCATTTCTAGCCTGTGTCATCTTCATCTCCTTGTACATGGATTTTGAAGCATGAGCAACACCTTAAATTTTATTCGCATCAGGAAATTGCGTCTTGCTTGTATTAATAAGAAGTTATGCCTTTTTTAGTTTTTATTTTCATGTCGTGGAAATACGTGGCCTCCGAGGGATGTTGCAGAAGTGGCACAGTCGCTTTTAGGTTCTGACCCTCGTCATCATCTTCTGCTCTTATTTTGTAGCACCTCCAATGTTATCCGCATCAGGAAATTGCGTTTTCCTTGTATTTGAGAGCGCAATTAAAGGACTTGGCAAAGTGCCAAGGAGCCGCACGCGACAGGCGCGCTTGCAACGGATGTTATCAACGGCGGGAATCTGCGCCGTAAAAAGGCAGTGGGCGGAGCATGGAAGAATTAGCGTGTTTCACGGCCCTGTATCTCCATTCCCGGGCATGTTTGGGCGGGGGGACCACGACACATCGACATCTGGGGGGCTGATAGTCTCATACACCCTCAGATGTGTGATGAGCGTAACTATTGGTCTTTAATGACTTTTGATTAGACTCAAAATAAAGCACTTCTCTGGCGCACACACTGATCTATGCTTGCTTGGTATGTATGTAGTTAATTAATTGTGATTTATTTATTGTAATCAATGCGACCATAGGGTTGCGACGTAAAGCATATCAAGCAATAAGGCTTAGAGATAATAGAAACAACCATATCAAAATGACGGAGAATTACCGATAGAAGAAATTTCGGATAACACAGCAGACAAAGCAACCGAGGAAAAAGACTTCACTAAACTACTGGATTCAGGAATCCTGAATGCTTAGCAAGGTCATCAGATCGACCTTCTTTAGTCTCTTTCTGAACGTGTAGGTGTTAGGCGCCTCTAGCAGATCTGATGGAAGTAATTGGAGATACCTTGCTCCACGGAAAAACAGTGAGTTGAAAACTCTGGTTCGGTGGCCATTGCACAGTTTAGGACATTGTAAGGACAACGAGGAGGTGCGACCATTTGTCGGTCTGAACACCCAGTATTTACTGGGTTTCAGCCTAAGCTCTCCTTTCAGTATCTTGAAACAAAACATAATATCATTGAACACCCTTCTATACATCAGTGATTTGAGGTTGAAAATGTGTAGGCGCTCCTGATAGCTAGGCATACTATGCGGATACTCAGGATCGGGAAAACAACGATACATCAAAACTCTCGTAAAAGTTTGCTGCACCTTTTCGATTTTCACCTGGAGCTTCTTAGTATGAGGGCTCCATATTTGCGAACCGTATTCGAGAATGGGTATGACGTATGCTTTATAAAGCTTCAGTAAAACTGAAGAGTCGTTTTCTCGAATATTTCTCAGGATTGCAAAGAGGGTCACGAGAGCTTTGCGAACAATAGTATCTATGTGATGCGAGAAATCCAAAGTGGAATTTACGAGCATCCCAAGATCGCGAACTTCTCTCGAAACACTTATGGGGATGCCGTCGACGGTGTACGGTACAACTATTGCTTTTCCTATGTGAAGTACAGAAGTTTTCATAAAATTGACTGGTATACCCCAAGCAGTAGCCCACCCCATCATGTTACATATAGATTGGGTTAACGCTCGGTGAACGCAGTCATGGTTATAATTGTCATAGACACCATATATTTTGATGTCATCGGCGTACATTTTAACGCTGACCAATGGGTGAGTGTTTAGGCAGGCTGGAAGGTCGTAGGTGTACATCAGAAACAGCAAAGGAGACAAGACACCACCACCCACCCACCCGTAAACCTGTGGAACTCCACTAGTGCAGGGGAAACTCTGTGAAAAAGTATCACCCACTTTGACAAACATGTGTCTATTCTTCAGATAACAGCTGATCCAGCTAAGGATGGGGCCTTCGATACCCAATTGCCACAACTTGTATTGGAGCTTTTCATGATTTACTTTATCGAACGCTTTGGACAAGTCGAAATAAATAACGTCCACACCCTTCCCCTTGTTAATAGCTAAATTCCAATCGAACAGACAGTCTGCCATAAGGGTACCTGTGGAAGCACCACTAATAAACCCATGTTGCTCTGCGGGAACCAGATTGTTCTTCATCAAATGGGATACAATTTTGTCACGCAAAATCGTGCTATAAGAAGTGTTCTTACGATCTCGGCATGTTTAAGTTTGAACAATCTTTCATTACTTAGTTCTGTCCCACAGAAGGTTTCTCAAGGAATTAAAAGATGCTAGTATCCATCCCTGTTGTGAATCGGAACCACGAGCAGCGTAGTCGTTTATTAGGTCCAAGCGAAAGCCGAACGAAAAGTGAACCATACTCGACAAACAGTCTTTTATACATAGATGATCTGGTATCGCTCAGTACTACTATCCCTTAGACTAAACAACTACCATATTCCTCAACAATCCCCATGAAGACTTTTTTCTTCCTGCGAAACCTCCATTCTGACGAGCTCCCCTTCTCCAGCAACACAAAGGCAAAAGTCCTGGAGCACTTGTCTCTACTTGTCATTAAGATTGCATGCAACAGGCGCATCGACTCGAGATAAGCACCGGACAACCAGGACTGAGTTGAAATCAATCATACCACAAGTTCTAGGGGAAAGCGGAAGAGAAAACTTTTTTATCTCTGTCCAGAGCTCGAGAAAACGCTGGAAAGGAAACATGTGTAAGCAGACTCGGAACTAGTATTTGGAAACTGGTATGGTTCTTATCACGTGTGAACAGCATGAGTTTCAGATCTGCTCTTGTCGGTCATCACCTGCGGAGAGCTAGTTTTTGAAAGAAGTTATTCTGTACACTTGATTTATGTCGTTTATAGAGGAATGTAGTACTACCGGAGTACTGTTAGCCTCTCATAAGACATTCAGGCTCATCATTAAGGCTTAGGGAGCCGAGATCAAGCAGATGGCGGCCGAACCTATGATGTTATTATGGAGAAGAAAGTGCCGCTATGGAGTGTGAGACACCCATGGCTTGACCGAATCCATAATGAGACCGCTCGTAACGAGGTGAAAGTTGAGCCGACTGCCAACTTCCTTGCCGCATCTCGCTTCCGCTGATATGGTCATGTTCATCGAAGACCTGATGCAATATGCAAATCAGTTGACAAGGTCATTTTCGTTAGCAAACGTCCAGAAGGCTATGCCAGAATGCGATGGATAGACAACTGAAGTAGATGATTGCTGCTGGCCTGTCCGCAGCCGATGACTGCAACTTGATTTGTTGGAAAGTCTCGGTGCAAAAAGTGAGCCCTACAAAGGTTGGACAGGAACACCAAGAAGAAGGAGAAGAAAATCGTTAGGGTTTTTGGCACTGCTCCATTACTACAACTCCTTAACTAAACAATTTTTCTCGCTGTATTTCGCCCACTGAAATTATTCGGTGCCCTGACCTAAGCGCCTGGTAGGAGGCACCTGCCTTTCTGACCAAAATCGGCGAAAACTTGTATACGAAAAATATTTGACTCTGATGTAGAAATCATTTTCCGGCCACCGCTGCTGAATGTCGGCTCAGCCAGTTTAGATTGTCACGGTGCGGATGACAATAATGCGCTGCTTGCTTATGCCGAGATTGGAGGAGAGAGAATCACTCCTCCTCCGAGGCTTAGCCCTAAATGAGCTCTAAGGTGCGCTGGTGTCGAAAAATGGATGCCGTTGTGTGATAGGGAGATATCAATAGACGCTATCATTACAAGTTTCATCGATTTCTGAAAAAAATGCTTACTCCAGGAGTTAACGAATGACACTCCCTCGCAACTTTTCATCGATTTCGGTGTGTAAGGGGGTGGCGCCAAATGGCGCCAGCGCTAAAAATTGACTTCATATATGTGTTTAGGTCATCAGGTCACCGAATAACATCTGTAGGCAGGGTTAATTTTTTCTTTTAAGTCTTGTGCCGTAATAATGGAGTAGTGCCGGGGTTTTTTCGACCGATGTCACGGCATGTTCCATCGTTCGTGAAACCGTGACTTTATAGTGTACACGAGTTCAGTCATTTCCGGAAATTTCTATGGACCACAGTTCCTCACTTACAGCAATGTCGTCGAAATGCGATCAAAGTATCAGAAAGAGTTCATGAAGAAGCATGGAATCAAGTTGGGTCTCATGTCACCGTTTGTCCGAGCAGCTGCTTATGCACTCACAGAGAATCCTAATTCGTCAATGCGGTAAAGTTGCGATTTTTGACTGTGATTTTTTGAACTTCGTTTTTTTTTCATTGACTCAGGCGAAGACCAAACCATGATGCTAATTAAGTGATCGACAGAGACCAGAGATAGTTTACCTGACATTTGTGGATAATGCAATGCGGTAGCGGACTCCGAGGGGATTAGTGGTTCCAGTGCTTCGTAACGTAGAAACAATGAATTATGCTCAAATAGAAGTGGAACTTGCATCACTTGGAGAGAAGGTACGTGATGATTGTCATTAATTATCGATTAAACGTGGGTCATAGATTATTTTGGTTTATTTCAGGCTCGTGACAACAAGCTTGCTGTGGAAGACATGGAAGGTGGAACCTTCACTATTTCTAACGGTGGCGTTTTCGGTTCCGTATTCGGTACACCCATTATAAACCCTCCCCAAAGCGCAATACTGGGAATGCACGGCATATTCGACAGGCCTGTTGCAATCAATGGCAAAGGTGAGTCGGGTCATCTGGTCTCGCGCCACAGGAAGAGGAGTTTTGTTTCAAATCTTCTTTTATTCTTATAAAATCACTTGCCTATGTTTGAGTTAAAAGTTCTGAGACGCTCACATATTCTTGGTTCGTTTGTATTTCTATTCAAATCCCTATTCAACAAGCGATATTTTCTCCCTCAGCATCGCATACATGACATTCGCCCAATAAGTAGGGAAAGTCAACGGTTCTTTCCTCTGCTATGAGAGAGGCTGTGAATCAGAGAATTGGTTTCGCGACTGACCATGAGATCTGCGGCACCGCTGGTTCCCTGGTGGAACTTCCGGCTTCCTCTTGACGCTGCTGAAGAAAAAGAAGTCGTCATCACCGACGGGTGGTATCCTGAACCAGGAATTGTTGGAGCCTCACATCCACCTTCAAGTTGAGCGATTAAAAGCACGTCCCGCTTTCATTGTACGCGAAAACGCCTTTTTCAGATCTGATAATCCTATGCGTTAGCAGGATTTACTGCAATTGCGTGTGGGGA